GATGATGTCAAAGTAATGAACTATTCTATGGGAATGTAGGCTAAGCACCGAGCGGATTTGGTTAGATGGAAACTCCCCCGACAGTTAGGCATGAGTTTCAATGATCGTCTACCTTATCCCATAAACTATGTGCCCGCATAGGAAGCTAGTGGATCCATTAAGCTATATATACCGGTCTTCCCTAGGCAAGTAGACCACCTCTTTTCGGTGTGGGGACTCATGACACCGGATTCCATGACAAGTTCTCATGGTCTATGTCGGTTAAACGCTTACTTCCCATCATGTGAGATTTCATTATGGTTTCTTGACAGGTTCTACAAAGTGTAGGTAGTAGTATGAGATGCTACCTATACATTGCACGAGTAGGCTTGGAGAGGGTCATAGTGAGTTTCTCTAAATCCTAATGACTGTGATATGAATGTACCCTAAATGAGGTTATTCAAGAATGTTGGCTCTTAAATGCTTAATATGTTATGCATGTTATACTTGGGTTATATTACGAGTTATTTTCCCTTGTCATGTCTTAATTAATGATATACCTCTTATGTATGAATATTGTGCAAAGGTGAAAGAAAGGAATGATAAGTTACTTTAAGTGACCTAAATGTGGTGCCTTAGTATGGATGGTGGTATGGGACGCCATCCATACATTGCACGAGGTATAGCATAAGGGTTTCTTGAGGTGAAGGTCCAAGGTAAAGGTTTTCATGTTGATATTGTTTAAAGGTGATATTATGACTTACTTGATGTTATGCTTGTCTTGTATGTCTTTTATGCTATTGTTCATGATATTTCAAAAAGGTGGCATAATGCATGGTTTCTAACTAAAATGTCCCTTTTTAAGCATGTTTTGCATGGTCATCATACTTAGTACATTTTGTGTACTAACCCATATTCTTCATATTTTTACTATAAGTGTAGGTTCCGGCAAGTGATCCCTCTTAGCTAGTTTGAAGTGTTGGATTGCTTTCCTCCAAGACTTGGTATGTCCTCATGGATTCGAGGATAAGACTTTTAAGTTCTTTGTTCATGTAATAGACTTCTTTTGATTGTAAAGGGCCGTGTCCCTACTTATGTTTTGCGACTGTGTCTAAGATGGCCATGTGAGACTTAGACTTCCGCTGTGTGTTTTTAAAGTTGTTTTAAGAAGTTTAAATGTGTGGATGTAAATAAGTTTTTTTTTATTTCCGCACTATTTTCATTATTGAATGCAATGAATGACTATGTGGCTCGTATAAGACCCCTTCGGGGTTGAGTACGCCTTGTTACGACTTGGGGGTGCTCCCGGGTCGTGACAACTAGATACTGTTATGTTTATTTACTGAATGGTAAAGATGAAGCAATAGAAACATATTGACAATATAAAACTAAAAATCAGTTAGATAAAAAGATTGCCATGATTAGAAGTGGTAGATGTAGAGAATATGAATCTTCTTTTGTAGAAATATATTTGAAAAATGGAATCATCCATCAAATTACTGCACATTCTCACCTCAATCTAATGAAATTGTTGACAAGAAAAAACCGAACTTTGAAGAAAATGTTGAATGTCCTATTTATAAGTTCAGGTTTACCACAAAATTTGTGGGGGGTGCTATCATTATAGCAAAAGAGAACAACAAAAAAATTTGTCTGTTCATAAAGAGAGAAACAAAAAGTTTTGTTTGTTAGTAAAGGGAGTAACAAATAATAAAAAAAACGTTTGTTTGTTAAGAAAGGGAGCAACAGAAAGTTGTGTTTGTTCAGTCTTTGTTGTATCCTGATAGAGAATTGTTTGTCGTCCCTTAAAGTTTATACAAGCAATAACTCTTGAAAGATAGTGATCAAACAATTTCCAATACAATCTATTTCATATGAGAAATGGAAATGAGGGAACTATTCCCAAACGGGTCAAAATAGGACCTAAGACTTTGGATTGTATGTTCATTGGATATGCTACAATTAGTAAAGCATGTCGATTTATGGTTCATAAGTTCGAATTGTTGGATAGTCAAGTGAAGGGTCTAAACGACCTTGGAAAGAACTAAAGGAGAATGTACTTAATAAAGAGATTCGGAGGCGTAGTAAATGTCAATGGACAAATTACTTCCTACGAGTTTGATTTTGTAACATTTCTTCTTGAAAATGAGTCTCATATATTCTAAAAGTTATGTCCTTTGTGGACTCATTCTCTTTGAGAAAAGTTTGTCAATAGTAAGATAGATTCAATCTTGAGCAACCATACTTGAGAGTTGGTTGATCTTCCTCGAGGAAATAAACTTTTGGATTCAAAGTGGATCTACAAAAGGAAAAGAAAGTTGATGAAACTATTGACAAATACAAAGACAGACTTGTTGTCATAGGCTTTAGACTATAAGAAAGCCTTGTTTGACAGATAATAGCACTAACTAGGATTACATCAATTCAGATGTTAATTGCGCTAGTTGCGAAATATTTCCTTCAAATTCGTCAAATTGGATGTGAAAACATTTTTTTTTAAAATGAAAAATTGGAGGAAGAAATTTACACGGAACAACCCAAGGGCTTTGTGGTTCTGGTAAAGAAAAGAAAGTCTGTAAACTTGTTAAGTCACTCTGTGGACTAAAAACAAGCGCCCAAATAATGACATGCGAAGTTTGACCAAACTATGTTGGCAAATGAATTCAAGATTAATGAATGTGATAAATGTTTTTACATTAAAGACACTCCAAATCACAAGGTCATTATTTGTTTTTATGTTGATGACATTGTGATCGTCAAAAGAGTCATTTCTAACATAAATGCTACTAAGCATATGCTAGAAAGTAACTTCGATAAGAAAGACATTGAAGTTACTGATGTGATTGAAAATGTACTTGACAAGTTCAAGCATTTGGATTTCAATATTGTCAAGACTTCAATAAATGTGATATTTGTACTTCAAAAGAATGAAGGCAAAAGTGACTCACAATTGGATTGTGCTAGAGTATTGAGAAGTATGATAAATTTCATGAAGTGTACGCGATCAGATATAGCATATGCTATTAATAAACTAAGTCGGTTCACGAGTAATCTCAATCAAACCGTTGGATGACAATGAAAAGAGTTTTGGAGTATTTAAAACATACTTAAAAAAACTATTGCTTTGCATTATAACTAATATTCAACAGTATTGGAAGAATATAGTGATGCAAATTGAATCACTAGGTCAAATGAAGTAAAATCCACGAGTGGATATGTATTTACTCTTGGTGAAGGAGCAGTCTCTTGAAAATCTTCCAAACAGAGATGTATCGCTCGCTCTACTATGAAATCTGAGTTTATCACTCTAGATAAGACCGGTAAAGAAGTTGAATGACTCCAAAATTTCTTGAAAGATTTTTGGCCCAAACCTTTTAGCTCTAGTATGCATACACAGTGAGAGTTAATTTGCAATAGGTAGGGCATGAAACATGATGTATAACGGAAAGTCTCGTCATATATGACGTAGCCATAATATCGTTAGAGAACTACTCTCTAGTGGAATTATCATAATTGACTATGTAAAGTCAAAGGATAATATGTCGGATCCACTTATAAAAGGCCTAACTAGAGAGGGAGTTGATAGATTATCAAAGGGAATGGTACTATGGCCGAGAACAAGTCATTGTGGCGGTAACTCTACCTAGAAGACTGGAGATCCCAAGATCTAGGTTCAAGGAGATCAAACAAAGTCATTGATGACGGTTCAACATTGTCAAAATATTTTTTATGGTCCATTATCATGATAAGACAATATTCAGTAACAAGGATAAAGATATTAAGACTTTTTAATGATTTCTAAGTTTGATACAGGGTATATCAAATGATGTATCTACGGGACAACACATTTAGAAATCACCTATGTAAGTGTGAAGTGTAAGCCGCTTCAAGGAGAATCTGGTAAGGCCAGTTCTCTACGCACTTATAAATCGAGACGTGTTCATGGCTGAAACGAACAAAACAATGAGAACCAAAAACAGTTCAAGGGTTGATTGTGTGACTTATTTTGTCTAGGTATACACCAAAACTCGACAGTTCAAAGATATCAAATCTACCGATTGACCGAGTATATCCGATATATGTTAACTACGGAAAGGTCAAAGGAAACCCACTTAACCAGAGGCAATCAATCCTTAATTACGAATCACACAGTTTTTCATGCATATGTTTTAACAATAGCCATTCCCTATTCATGTGGGGGATTGTTGGGTTTTAAAGGTGTGAACAGGAAATGAAGGGTTGTGACTCTCTTGAAGAGTTGTGACTATGCCGAAGGGTTGTGAACTTTATGAAAGGTTGTGTCCTTTCTAAAGGATTGTGACCGTTTGAAAGGTTATGCCTTTTCCAAAGTGTTGCGACCTTTCTGAAAGGTTGTCTTCTTTTCCAAGGGTTGTGACCTTTACCCTTTGTTGGCTATAAATAGAGAGGTTTTCTCTCATTTTTCTGTATCGAATTCTTCCCTTCTTTTGCATACATTTCTTACAAAACAAAATCGATCGATCGTGTCTGTGTGTGTGATTCGTTGTTGTCATTTTGAGTTCGTTGAGATTATCGAAGTTTGAGGTACCGCTACTTCTTTAATGGTTAATCCGTTTTATCTTGGGAGGAATTAATCTGCAACCTCGGGTATTTGAGGGGATTGAATTTCTTAAGGACACACAGTGGGTTCTGTGGATTCGGATAGTTCTTTGTGTTTTTCTTTTCATCTTTTATTATTTCTGGTTTGCTAATCTGAATAAATGAAATAACATGCTCTTGCTTCATATCTATATATGTATGTATGTTACAATGCTAAAAATATATTTTTGATCTAAACAATCAAAACATTTTATAATTTTACTTTGGTTATAAATTACTATATCATGTTTGCTACATAATCCGATAAAGTAAAGATTCTTTACACTAATCAATTCGTTTAGTACTCTTAACATTAATTGTAAATTATAGTTTGCTTGTTAATTCCGGGCGGACCGTTTTAAAATCTTAAACCGGCCGGCCCGGTCGAGTTATTTAGCTAATAAGAACCCTTCCACTTCCACAAAGCCCTTAAACCCTCTCAGTTCAAAAGCTTGTTCGTTTTCTCTGTAAACTCTCCATTATCGATCTGGGATCTGGTGTAGCTTCCATTTCTTTTGGCGGAGATGTCTGTTAAGGTTCTGAATCCAAATGCAGAGGTGCTCAACAAATCTGCGGCGCTTCACATGAACATCAACGCCGCCAAGGGTTTACAGGATGTTCTCAAGACTAATCTCGGTCCTAAAGGAACCATCAAGATGTAAGTTTTACTAATTGATGGTTATACTTTGTTTGGAAGTCTTCGATTCTAATGTTACAAACAATTGACAGGCTTGTTGGTGGTGCTGGTGACATTAAGCTTACTAAGGATGGGAATACGTTGTTGAAAGAGATGGTCAGTTCTTTCTTTGCTCAACAGTTATACTATTATTGTCCTCTTATGATGTAGGTATATGCTGCAAAATGACGAAAATGATGCATACATTAGGGGTGCAAAATGAGTCAAGTCTTAAAATTCATGAGTTGTAATATATGGTCTTGAGAATTACTTACCTGCTAGCTAGTGATAGGACCAAGGTGCATTTTTTCCACATAGTATAGCTACTAAACTTAATTATGGTGTTTGGATACTCAATGTTGGGTTACCCGTGCTAACTCGAAGCTCCACATGTCTAGTCCCTGACATGCGAGGACAGTTAGATGTCTGCATCGGTCAAGTGTATGAGCTTTTGTATCCTTATATGATTGTCGGAAATTCTCACCATTTTAGCTAACTTTAGTGGTTGGCTTAGTCCTATAGTACCTTTTCCCAATAAGAACTCTACCCATTTTATCTATTTTATTTCTGGTTTCGTGTATGTTGCTTCTTGATTTTGCCTTTTGTTATCAAACATGTTGGGTTGATGTTGCTAGTGGAATCAGATTCTGTGTTAATGTTTGTCACTTGGCAGTGTCCTGCAAACTTGGCTACACATTTGTAGATGCAGGGATAAGTCTGGAATTTAGGGAATTCCAAATTTTAGAGGACTCCTAGTTTGTTTTAGAAGAAAAACTAGTGTGTAGTGAGTACTGAAGCGAAATGGGCTCAAAAGGATATAGAGGATTTGTATAGTCAACCCCAACCAATTTGGTATTAAGGTGTCTATGTTCCTATTTTGTGTTTTCAGAAATCAAGTACAAGAATCGATCTTTTCAAGGAAGTGGAAACTGTCTTGTAACAAAATTTATGTACTTCTTAATAACCTAAGCTTGTCTTAATCTCGTGAGCATGTCACAAATGACTTGGTTAATTCTTCTAAATTAAGAATATCTATCTGAAGATCAGATTTTGTCCTTGTGGAGGCTAAATGGAAGATAAATCTTGTTGCTCTGAGGTAATTGATTTATTTTTCTTTGAACCTAAAAACTGCAGCAAATTCAGAACCCAACTGCAGTAATGATTGCTAGGACTGCTGTAGCTCAAGATGATACTAGTGGGGATGGTACTACATCTACTGTGCTTTTCATTGGGGAGCTCATGAAACAATCTGAACGATGCATAGATGAAGGTTTGACACATATATATGTATATACTTTTCCAAGCAACTTTATTGCCTTATATTTTGGTGCATTCTACATCCATGACACTAGAAAAGAAAAGCAAAACAAGAAACTGTGCTGCTCTTGTTCATAAAAGTAGCCCTCGAGCTTATGATGGTTTAAGCATTCCTTTGGAAAAATAAATAGAACTATAATTGGAAGAGAAACTCTCAGGAAAGGAAAAACATGCAATGAAAAATTTCGTTCTTTTTTACTTACTATTTCAGTGTTTTTAGTATGCGATCCTTATGAAATCTTATGCATAAGTATCTCCTTTGGGTTAAATTAAATAATCATTGCTTGTTCCTTTCTTGCAGGGATGCATCCTCGTGTGCTAGTTGATGGTTTTGAAATTGCAAAAAGAGCAACTCTACAATTTCTTGAAAAATTTAAGACTCCTGTAGTAATGGGTAATGAGCCAGATAAAGAGATATTGAAGATGGTTGCAAGAACGACATTGAGAACAAAGGTTTCTTCTGCAATATTAATATAATAAAGATTTTGATTCTGCTGTTGATATGTTCTTCCTTTCCTACGGGTGCTAATGCGAATTTATTGTTTTGGTGCAGTTGTACGAGTCACTGGCTGATCAGCTGACTGACATTGTTGCGAATTCTGTGAGCACCCACTCTTATTAGTTTTTAAATGGCTAGTTCATTTTTTTCTCTTTCTGACATGGTGTTCTGGGGAAGGAGGGAGTATGGACCAGCTGATGCTGATCTTTATCGTGTTTGAAAGTTAGATGTATCAGCCGTCTCCTCTGAAAGGAGAGAATTCTTCACTGATCTATTCAGACACAAGTCCTGTCATAGGCACCTAAGATTGAATGTTGTGATGACCTTTTTTGTTTTGGTGAAATGATGCATGATGAACTGTATTGGTTGTTTTGCGGCATCATCATTCATTACATACTTTGCAATTTGTATATGGGGTTTTGTGCCCAATCTGGCAATAAATTCATTATTTACAACTTTGTACCACAGGTGCTCTGCATTCGCAAGCCTGATGAAGCTATTGATCTTTTTATGGTTGAGATAATGCACATGCGTCACAAATTCGATGTAGACACTCGTTTGGTATGTGGAATGCTATTCTTGGCCTTTCTACATTTTGGTTAACATTTTTTTAATAAAATGACAATGGTATTGAAGATAGTTGTCAGCTACTGACAATGACCACATCACTGAGCAGAATAATGAATATCCTATTCTGATCAGTCTACTTCTGGACTGGAGAATACAATTTTACAAATTTCAAAATTATTGGCGATCCTGGAGCAGATACTACTTTTCACATAGAATTTTAAATGCATGAAAACCAGTTCAACGTAACCTCATTATAAGTTTAGGCGATAGTAAAATAAAGAATGCTGTCTACCGAAAATATTTCACTCTGAGGTGTACTTTTGTAGATTTTTTCTCCTTCTAGGTTTTATAGAAGGAAAGTATGATTGGACTTATTTAAAAAATGAAAAAGAGAAAGTAGTTCAGTGCTTAGGGTAGAGAGTGAAAAATTAACCTTGCACATCTAGTGATAGTCATACACAGTGAAAGATGCCTATAATTCTGATCATGTTGGAGGTCTTGAAGATACATTAGCATGTGGGTTAAGGAAAGAGATGGTGTAATGCATATTTCATGCAGCCGTGTATATTTCACCAAGTATGCCAGAATGCCTAGATGTGGATGCACTTGGACGGCCTCACTTCTGCATGATATTTTGTGCTGTCTGATGAAGAATGAAAAAATTGTTTTTTTTCCCCTTCCTGCTTTTTCCCAGGGGGTTGGGGGTGCCAAAGAAACCTTCATGCAAATTTTAATGTGTCACCTCATTAATTCTTACTGCTGTTAGGTTGAGGGCCTTGTACTTGATCATGGTTCAAGACATCCAGACATGAAAAGGCGAGCAGAGAACTGTTACATTTTGACTGCTAATGTCTCTCTTGAATATGAGAAGAGGTAATAGTGTTAATCCAGATTCACATTGCTTAGATTTGCTTGGTCTTGATAAGTTCTTACCATTGATCAATCTTCTCCTTTCTCAGTGAAGTAAATGCAGGTTTTTTCTACTCAAATGCAGAGCAGAGAGAGGCGATGGTTGCTGCAGAACGGCGTTCTGTTGATGAGAGGGTGCAAAAGATAATTGACCTAAAGAACCAGGTATGCTGTGCAGGTGGTTATATCTCATTACTCTTGTAGTGTAAGAAAATCATTATAATGTTCAATGCTGCTGGTTCTTTGCAGGTCTGCGCTGGAAATGACAAGAATTTTGTTGTTATCAATCAGAAGGGGATTGATCCTCCATCTCTTGATCAACTTGCTCGGGAAGGAGTAAGTTGTTGCTCTCTTTATTCAGTTTCTAGTAGCTGAATGGTTCAACAACCAAGCTTGCACCTTTTGCATTTTGGTTTCTTTGGTTGTTGTGTTAGCACCTTGTGAACTAATTAGTCTGATTAGCCTAGAACTTGGGGTTGTCTTGGTAAAATAGAGAGAACTGCCTAGAACCCATGTAATCCCCCCTCTCTTCGTTCTTTAATTAGACATACAAGAGAAAGGCTAGGGGGACAGGAGCTTAATGGTGATAAAAATGCTCAAATGGATCCTGAAGACTCCAAATATCTTCATGAAAAGATCAACAGACACATTTTGAAACTTGTGCAACTCATCAGAAACTGCTTAGTACAACGGATCAGTTGGATGGAGCTTGCTTGTCTCTTTTATTGTTCTTAGTTAGAACTCAGAACTGGTTTATTGCATAAGCTCTGTGCCTTTTCAAATCACTTGTTTACAACACTCAAAAAAGTTTCTTTGAGACCATATGCGGATGAACTTGCTTTATTACATAAGTTCCGTGCCTTTTTGAATAATTTGTTTTCAGTACTCAGTCAAAGTTCGCCGACCCCAGCTTGTTTGGGACTAAGGTGTAGTTGTTGTTGTAGCACTCAATCAAGGATCCATGAGAAGATATGCAATAAGCTGTCTCTCCATTTTATCATGTGCAAGAACTCAAGTTGGTAGAAATATTGAGAAAAGATAATGTGATGTATAGTAACCATTTATCCAAGGTTCTTGTTTCCTGAAGTACACTGCTCAAGTACCTGAATGCAAATGCAAGTTTTTACACCTTTAGCTCTTACTTTTAACAATTTCTCTTTTGGTTTAATGACAAAGCATAGAGTTTTACACTTCTCTTTGATGCATTGTCACAACTCACAAAATAAAGTTCTCATTTTGTTTGGACATTGTAACTATTTAGTATTCTGGATCTTCTTTCCCAAAGTATTTTTCCCCTTAACACTAAGATTGCAATATGAGCAGTTAAAAGGGAGGTTGCATGACTTAAATGGGTTACATGAACTTGAGGACTTGTCTTCCCTAAACATTTTATGTAATCATACTTGTTTCATGATCCAGATAATCGCACTTCGGAGGGCAAAGAGGAGAAATATGGAACGTTTGGTTTTGGCTTGTGGCGGGGAGGCGGTTAACTCTGTTGATGACTTAACTCCTGAGTGCCTTGGCTGGGCTGGGCTGGTCTATGAGCATGTTCTTGGTGAAGAGAAGTATACCTTTGTAGAAAATGTCAAAAATCCTCATTCTTGTACAATTCTTATCAAAGGTACTTTAGGTGCTTAATGTTCGTCAAATTGTTTTGTTCGGTCTCCTGTTGCTTATCATTGTAGTGAGCTGGAGAAGTCGATCTCAACCTTCAGTGCTGTTTTCTTTACAGGGCCTAATGACCACACAATAGCTCAAATCAAGGATGCAGTTCGTGATGGACTAAGGGCAGTAAAAAATACCATTGAAGATGAAGCAGTTATACTCGTATGTTACATTTTTGCCAATATAAAACAATAGTTTTGTTATTTGATCAACAAGATTTATCTGTGTGCTTCCACATGGAAGCTCCTTTACATGATGTTTGTTCTGGGTATGTGGGAACTTTACATGAGTTTCAAATCGTTTGCCACTGGTGCTCAAGGACTTCTCGGTTATGAAAAAAAGTCTGTATGCATAGGAACACAGTCTAGTTTATGTGAGGATATTGCTAGATATCATTATAATTCTGTGCATTATTTGGTATCTTCTCTGTTGGGGCTAAGGAATTGTTAGTGTCTTATGTTTAACATTTACAAAAAATGATGTACAGGAAGGGAACGCTTTATTGACTTCATAACCCAATTTTTCCCTCTGATTAATGGAGGTTACAGCTTCAACTATCAACCAACTCTTGACTCCAAAACTAGATGTGTTACAAGTTACTGAATTTAATTTGCATGCCTACATCTGATTATGGAATTTAAGCTTTCTCACTCTTTCAAGTGTTGAATCACAATTTACATTTGTATTATGTAAGAACGAGGCCATGAATTTCCTGTTCCTAAGTTGTAGTCTTGAATGCTGGCTTTCAGGGTGCCGGCGCCTTTGAAGTTGCGGCTCGACAACACCTTATTAACGAAGTGAAAAAGACTGTCAAGGGGGTGTGTATATGGATTTATCACTGTCCTCTACTTCCATCTGTTAAATATCTTCAAGTACCGTATCTGTCTTCTCACTCTCTATATGTTTGTCTCGACAATATATTTACAGCGTGCCCAACTTGGAGTGGAAGCTTTTGCTAATGCCCTCCTTGTTATACCAAAGACACTTGCTGAGAACTCTGGCCTTGATACTCAAGATGTGATCATTGCTCTAACGGTACCTATCTTTTGTGCATGCAACAACGGATACTTTAAATCAGTCTTTGTAACATCTCAACTATTTTCAGGGAGAGCATGACAAAGGAAATGTTGTCGGACTAAATCAACACACTGGAGAACCTGTAGATCCACAAATGGAGGGGATATTTGATAATTATTCCGTGAAGCGTCAGATTGTTAATTCTGGGTATGTGGGAACTTTTCATTCATTTTCTGTTTGCTGTGCTGTATGTGCATGTGTGTGTTTTATGTATGTTTAAATTGCATCATTTCCGGGAGTTTGATTTCTCTTCTTCTGTTTCTTCTTTGCAGGCCTGTTATAGCATCTCAGCTGTTACTTGTTGATGAAGTAATTCGTGCTGGACGAAACATGAGGAAACCGACTTAGTTTTTCCTGTCTGAAAATACTTCACTTTCGGAATTATCAGAGAAAATGATGGAAAAAACGAAGGTGGAGATAGATGAAATAGGCGTGGAGAGTAGGGTGTGTTCGTCGGTCAGTTTGGTATTGTTCTGAAAGATTTTCCTTATGTATTTTTTGGTTTTCCAGTTTTTCTAATTTTCCAATGTCATATTGAAATAAAATTCGATATGGTTTGGTTTTCTATTTTTCAACTTTAGTTTATGTAACTTTAAGTATTACTTTTTCGAGTTATATATTCTATCAACCAAAATCTAAATAGACAATTAAAATCTGGATTTTGTGAGTCATGAAATTGATTGTTTTTAGATTTGGTAGCGAACTTTAGCTTTATGCAAAGCTTCACTTCTTCTCTTTCGTTAGATAAGGATCGGAATGAGACTTTGATAGTGAAGGAGAAGTGAAGCGTAGTTATACATCACATCATCATCGTTTAGCCTAGCCTTGACTAGTTCCATTGCTTTCACATGAAAGAACCCATAACAACACAAGGAGTGGAGGAAACAAGCTAAATGTATTGAATTCCATTTCCATGGCCGTTAAAAAATGAATTTGTTGTTCGTAAATGGACAATGCTAGCTAATGTGGGCCAAGAACTAAAGGCTCATTAAGCCCAACCGTTTTAGCTTAAATCATAGGGATAATTGTACATAATAGCAAACTATTAATTCAAATTAAATGTTATAAATATACTTTGATTTAATTGTACCCTATAGCAAACTATTGCTATTTTCGCCACTCTCCCAGGTGGAATCTTGCTCGCCACTCTCGTTTGGTGGCAGTCTCAATCGCCTCTCTCGCTTTTAAACAAACACAAGTGTATAAAATGCGTTTGTGTTTGTATAAAGCAAGAGAAAATTGTATATATACATATATTTTCATTCCCCTCTCTCCCCTCTCCTAGATCTCGCTCGCCACCCTTGCCTCTCTCACTTATACAAACAGAAACGAAATGTATAAATTGCGCTTCTGTTTGTATAAAGCGAGGGAAAATTGTATATACACATGCAAATACATATATCTTCGTCCTATACACTTATAATTATACAATACAAATATTTCCCTGCCCAGTTTTCTTTTGCCTTTCTGTCTTTCTCGTTTTATACATACACATATTATACAATTGATCTTTTGTATACAACTGCTTTCTTTTGTATATGTATAGTGAATTATACAACTGTTTTTTTTTTGTATATGTATAGCGAATTATATATATATATATATGTTTGCTATGGAGTGCAATTATGCAAACTTTGCTATAACATACAAATATGAATTTTGTGTTTGCTATTTATGAAAGTTGCTCATCATCATATATTCTTATTTGGAAAAATTACCTATATACACATCTTATTTTTCCATAATTTCTATTATTCCCTCCCTATCAGTTCTAAAATTTTCCAAAATCCCTTATTTTTGAGTGTAACACAAAACTACCGGATACATAACTCCCACTTCTCAAACTCATGTTTATCACTTCCTGATTTCACTCCATAAATCTCTCTCATCCTTTTCTTCTTCTCCAACTTTTGATTCCCATGATTTTTTGCTCCTTTTCACTCCAACAATTACCCCCATTAATCCATTTTTGAATTTTAAATCTTCTCTTTCTAATTAATTATTTCAAGTTATTCAAGAGGTAGATCTCTTTCCATAACTTCAGTTTTCAACTTTTTTTTTTAGTTTTTCATCTTCAAAAATCGTTGATACATATGGATAAAAGTCAATATTTCAATATTGGGTTTACCCAATAACTTGAAGAAGGAAGCATCTTTGACTTCTAAATTGACGGTGGAAAAAAAGGCTCAAAAGCCGAAAAAAGTTTGATACATTAACTAGATTTTTATTGTATTAAGTTAATTTTGTTTCTTACTTAATGTATAAGCCTTTGTTTCAACACTACGATACATTACAATTTTATCATGCATAGTGTATCATGTTCAAATATTAGTTTTGATACATAACCTTAATTAGTTTTGATACTTGAATACTTCTACCAAATGTATCATTTATTATGTATATAGGTGTGACCATATCTTCTACCTTATTTAAATTTAGAAGGATGTGTATCCGTACACACTACCAAATCATATGCGTGATACATAAACCTTACTATTTTCATAGCTAAATATGTGTGGTAAAAAAATTGTATCTAAATCCATCGATACTGTCTTTTTCTATTATAGATAGACATCTAATAAAGCGATTAACAAATTGATACATAACAACGTGTCATGATTACATAATAGCGATCTTGGCACACAACAATGCATTTGATACCTATATATATATATATATATGATACATTCAAGTGCCACACAAGTATGTATCATATTCATAAATGGTGATACAAAAATGTTATTATCAAAAAAATGTTTAGTTTGAGGCAAAATGTGAAGATCTTGCAGCTATGTATCTGATACAATAAATATGAAACACATTAATACATATATTAAATCTATCTAATTGATAGTAAAAATATATAGATGTATCTAATACAATAAATATGAAGCACATTAATACATATATTAAATATGTCTAATTGATAGTAAAAAGAAACGTAAGCGTAATTTATGAGATTTAATTAGATTTTCCGACACTTATTGTAGGGCAACATTAATGTATTCGGAAAGCCAACTATGCATCCGGACAACCAATCATGTATCAGGATGACTGATATTTTAGGGGATTTTTGTAAACTATAAAAGAGTAGGGATAAAATATAATTTAAGTCTTACACTATGAGATTTATGTAAGTTATACGGAGCTTACCAACATTTTGGAGTAAACCGGCAAAACTTGTCAACATCATATATGATCCTCCTTGATCTAAGAGGAAGCCACAAAACTCTCAAGTTCTCAGGGTCTTAATACATGAATCACCCAGTTTCTCATCAATGAAATTGATCCCAAATAGAAGTACGGGCAAAAATTTTGAAATCGGAAATCGAGCATGTACATGACAAGATTTGTACTATATCTACTCACTGTATTGCAGTTCAAATAGAAAGAGATGAACGATATGCATTATCAAAGCAATAGAGCCCAGACCATGTCCTACATGAGACAAGAAGTATAAGAACCATTTCCTACAACAGAACCTTTGATTGCCAAACTTGCTTTCCCCTCTTTGTCATGGATCCTGTCCAGCATTTAAATGAAGAACTCATGAGCATCTTGCTGCACGTAGGCATGGTTTTCCGAATGTTGCCACCAACTGCAAACATAAACAACAGTTCAATCAGAAAGAATCACTACATAGGTCTGCAACATGTCAAGTCTCTAACCAGCGTTAACAATTTCCACGTATAAGCATCTGATCTAAGCTGACAAATGATGATATCTTACTACAACATAGAGATTTTTATTTTGCCATTATAAGAGAATTGTAAACTTGCATATAGCCCCGTTATAGAGGAAATGCATCAAATATTGATTTCACAATTACATTTATAATTGATAAGACAACTCTAATATTAACTAAAAGCAAGGTTGTGAATTTGTGGGGATTAAACATCTTTTACATTTTTGAAGATCCTGTTATAACCAAGATCGATAATCAATAATTTAAACGGCAAAAGACAGATTAGAAAGCGATTCGAGTTCAATCATAGGAGATAAATCCAACTAGCAGTCACAAACCTGTAAAGAAACTGAGCTGGACTTAAGGCCTACCCCCCGCCTCAAGGCACCCGCCCCGAGGCGCCGTCGTGACCCGAGGCACCCAACCCCCATTCCCCTAGACACATACATTGAGTTCAATTTCTATAGGAGGATCAATGTGCAAATGATGTCAAATAGTAAACAATTCAACAAGGATATAAGATATGAGACTACCATTTAAGTTCTTGACAAGCCGGACTCCTTCTGCAACCGAATTACTTTTGACTTTTGACACTCCTATCACCTAAAAAGGAAAAAAGACATTGTTCCAATAAAAGAGTTGTGGGAAGTGGGAACACATTCTAACTCAATTACAATTCACTATAACAGATCAGAAAGAAAAGATTTTTAATCAAGAACCTATTTCTAATAAACAGAACATACATTCCCTTTCTTTATTAGGACCTTATACACCATTCTAATCAGATATGCAAGTCTCAGCTCCCAACTAGCAACTAGCAATAATGACGAAGCCTGGAATTTCACAAAAGGTGTTCAAGATTCTAATAAATATGCATAAAAGTAATTTTTGACTTATATATACATAAATTTTTACAGACACATATAATTCTCCGACAAAGGATGTTCAACAGACCACCGTCAATGTGGCTTTGTCATTGATTACCAAAGTACCAATCCAATGTATAAACCTTATTTCCTGATTTCTGCCTATGAGCTACCTGCCAAGAGGCATACTCCAACCAAAATCAAACTGATAAAACATAGGGTACTTCTGAACAGCTCTTGGGCTACTATGGAATCCCTGTAAAAGTTTCTTTCGACTATTAGTCACAGGGGTGCTGACATGCATAGATGGGTTCACTGTATCCTAAAGCAGAATTTGTGCAAATGAATTGCATTATCCAGACATATGGTTCACAGAATATAAAACAAACTATCCTAAAAAAATTACAAGTTTCTATTGGATAATATGAAGAAAGGCCTTGATTTCATACGAACATCACAAATTTCAACAGATGAATTCACTATTTACAGAAAAACTTGTAAAATGGGATAGTGCACTCTTTATAATTAAAGAACAAAACATCGAATAAACTCCTACTGAATATAGAAATTGCTACTTGATTAGCTCTCTGAAAGTGAAAGAGTTGGGAAATTAACCCAAGATCGGATAATATATTGTTTGATGGTAGTGAAGTACCAGGTAATGAACCTCTGTTCCCCAAGTTCTTAATATATAATACCCACCCCCGCCTAGAGGCACCATCGTGCCCCGAGGCCCTCCCCACTCCCACCTAGAGGCACCATCGTGGACCGAGGCCTCCTTCCCCACCGCCTTGAGTCACAGACGTTCCCCAAGTCCCTCCCCACCCTCGCTTCGAGGAACCATTGTGCCCCGAGGCCCCCCTTCTCCCCCGTCTCGAGGCACCGTCGTACCCCGAGGCAGGCACCGGAGGCACTGTCGTGCATCGAGGCCCCCTTCACCACCATCTCGAGTCACAGTTGTGCCCCGAGTCCCTCCCCACCCTCGCCTCGATGCACGATGGTGCCTCGAGTCCCT